AACTAAAACGGGAAAAGTAAAATAAAGGGTTGAGCACCCGAAGGCAGCCAAGATTTTTAGTGTTAGAATGACTAAGCCTGATGTCAAAAGAAGCCGGACAGATATCTGATGTACGAAGTATTAAAATAACGACAGACGGCCTCAAATGAGTGTCACGAAGACGCATAAAGAATTTTAGGCAACATTTGAATCTAGAATACTAGAAAGAAGAAAGGTGGACAAGCAAAATTATAAGATACAAGTACTCTTTAATAAACCGCCATATCAAACCAAGTGAAAACTTTAAGAGGAAGTGTGAAAAGGCCAAAAGAGCACTCTTTCTTTTAGTAATTGTAGATGATTTCACAAAAAAAAAAACAAAAAAGTGAAAACTTAGGTTATAGTTGAGCGTGGAGAACAATTAGTCTTACCAAAATATAAACCTTTTATATTAAAAAAAAGTTGTGAATGCTTGTTTCGGAAAGATTGTGAAGGCAAATTCCAAACACAGTATCCTAGTATCACAATAACTTATGAGAACTTAGTTACACTTCCTCATCTTTATATACATACATATCTAAACTCAACCCAAGCCTATTAACTTTAGTTACAACTATTTCGACAAAGCAAGCTGTAATTGAGGCGCCTAGGCATTTACACATATTAAACACATGTATTTTTCTGTAGTGAGATATCTGCCTTCTCTTCACAACAACGGCCCCCTACACTGCCAATAGTTACTGGCCAGTCAGCACATTATCATTTACGAGCTGTTGGTCCACCATCATCAACTGTGTAAGGCATCCAGCAGATATACTTAATAACGTGCATATGTATAGTAGATGCACAGGCATACATATTTAAAATTGCAAGGACTAGAAACGATACCAACAACTACACACTTCCAGCCGCTTTTCTGTGCTTTGTAAAATACTTTCGAGTCCTTTTCATTCTTACCCTCTAAGCGCCTTCATTTCGTTGCATTTAGCTGCCCGTTTCATCAGTATGTTGCAACAGCTGTTCAAGCGACAACAGCAACAACAACAACTTCGCTCCTACGGCGTTGGTAATCTATTAGCGCAAAGGATTTGTTAGAACGTCGCCAACTGACGCTTTTTACAATAAATTGGGTCATTGTCGTATAGGCAAACACAAAAGTGTGACAGCGTCTATATTGGTGTGCGTGTGTATTTGTGTGACACTTTTTGTTATTACTGTTATACTTTAGATATTTTCACAATTTTGTGCACTTTCACAAAACGCTCTCAATTCTCGAAGCTATAAAGAGCTGTTGATAAGCATTTGGCAGGCTTGCAGCAAAGAATAATGAAAAAGATTACGAATGAAATACAAAGGATGGCAATTTATTTATGTCCAGACATTTGATAAATATATATTTGAGGTTATTGTGACTTCTACGGTGCATATTTTGAACATTTAAAGCGAAAGAATAAGAAAGTTGTTTAAGTAAAGGGTTCTGTAAGCTTAAATTTTAAACTTTAATATTAAACTAAAATTGGTGAAAAATTACCTCTTAAATTTTTGTTTACACTCACAATATGAATTGTGACGAGTATTCTTTATTTATTTCGTGCGGGATACATTTAAATAAATCAGTACTAATCTGCCCCAGTATAAAGTTTTTCAGAAAAACGAAAATTTTGTTAAAACAATATTCAATAGGGTGGAGCGTTTTGTTTTGCTTAGACGGGGATGCAATCTGCAGATTATAATATAAGAAAATTTTTTGACAAAAAAAAATTTTTTTTTAACATCTAGGCGGCGATTTTCAAGTTAAATTTTTTATATCCTACAAATTTTTTTATAAGTGTTCTAGAAGCTGTGGAGAGTCCTCTTTCAATTAAAAGTTATCAACTTAAAAAAAATGTGGTCATTATTAGGGTTTTAAAAAAGTCTTTAACGACAACATACTTTCCAAGCGTTAAAATGAATTTTGAGTCACATTCGGTAACTTTTATATATTGTAAATGTAAAGAGTTTAAGCAAAAAATAATTTTTTCTTGTCCAAAAAAAATTTTTTACTCGAAATTTACTTTAAAACTGAATGCGTCGCCTCTAGATGTTAAAAAATTTTTTTTTGTCCATCTTCTTTTATAATCAACAGATTTTACCCCGGCTAAGCAAAGAAAAAAAATTTTTTTTCGCTCCACTCTAATATTTAACGATGCTAACAATCTTTAAAAAAAAACTTAATTTCCTAATATCACTTTGCTCATTGGTTCTCTCCAAAGAAAATATGGAAAAATAATAAGTTCGAAGTGCCAACATAACCGCATTGAGGGAACTTATTGGCGGTCAATTAAATGTTTTTGTAATTTAGCTTACCAAGATTATCATGGTACTCAGGGCCGGGATACGTGTGGGAACCCCTTTTTGCGGTGTTAATTATATAAACAGAGTCTCTTCTCATTTCATTAGTAATACAGTCTACCTGGAAACCCTTTTTAATACTTCACACCAATATCCGATCGTTTGTGGGATCTATGAATTAATGTGTAACCTTTGAGATTAATGATACACACAACTTAACAGAAACAATAACAGGAAAAGTATACAAAACTGATTTTGTTCTTACATTTAGTGGGACTCCTGGCCGGGGTTCCGTCGGCTCTGCTCTTAATACGGGCCTGATGTTACGACAAAAGTTCTACAGGGACTCTATCCAAAATGTATGCCAGTGATTATTTATACTTACTTTTTACTGTTAAGTCATGATATACCTATAGTATACCTCAATAAAACAGAGTCCAAAATTTTTTTAAAAATGTAACATCTTTTTTCCTCTTTAATGGCTAATCTATATATCTTTATTATTGTGTACCCATCTAAATAACAGTACTCCTTCAATGATATAACGTAGTATTAAAGCATCTTCTGCAGTCCCAGACGAAGGCGAATCACAATCGGTGTCTGTATCCTGGCGTTGCCGAAATGGAACACAAGTCCTCTTCTACTGGCCAAAACTGGACGTTTCGTGGCGATTACTGTTTCAGACCGTATTTTAATGGTATCTTAAGAACAGATAGTAAAAAATTTTGAAGAAAAAATTAATCGTAATAAAAAATGTCCTTAACTAGATTATTCCGGCCTTCTCCTTAGTTGAAACCTATACAAAATCTAGTAAAAATAAAGTAAAAACCAACAAAGTGATAGCTGTTTAAAAAAAGTTGAATTTCACCCCAATTTTTGGTAGTTTAGGACAAAATGAATTCAAAATGTCGATTAAATCAAAATCTGGTCATTGTATGAAGAATTATAGGCAGAACATGCTGAAAAAATTCTGTTTCGAGAAAACCGGTTTTAAAGGTAAACTGATTACATCGAACGGCTACACTTTAGATTAGGGATATTTCTACTGAACTACTAAAAATAGAAAGCTTGCTATAGGTAAGGGAATGCGAGCAAAAAAAAAAATGTTTTTCGGAGCCAACGGCCCAAAGGATAAATTTTTAAATTTCGGCTTCGAATTTGAAAACCAAATCATATTAATTAAAAATAAAAAATTATAAAAAAAAATCATGAATTTCATTATATATTGTATTTATTATAAATTATAACATCATATAAAAAAGTCACGTGTTTCCCAGAGAAAGTACTTCATATAACATAATTTTTAAATTACTTAATCCGCACAAAGCACAATTACCTAACCTTACTCAACATATTTTCCGTCTGAGCACAAAATACGAAAAAAGTTTACAAACATTTATTGCAGCATAAACGCTTGTTGCATCTACCCAATTTGGCTTCTCCCTTTATAACTGCTTTACAACACAAACAAACACGAGTAAAAATTTGCTCTTAACTCTTACTAAAGAGAGCGTAATATATCTAAAACTCTTCGCTATAACTCCACTTTCGTCTTCACGAAAGTAGTAGTAGTCCCGCATAAGAGTAGTTCATTAATGTTGTCTGCCGCTGCTGTTGAAAGCCGGAAGTGTTGACATTTCTTTCCGGCATCAAAACTTGTTTAGCAACATTTGCGGCAGCATTAAATGGTATCAAGTGTTACACTTTTATATAAACAACGGAAGTGAGAGAGCGGTTAGTGAGCATTTTGAGCTCTTATGTGCTATTTACGTGTTGATACGAGATAATGTTAATTTTTCGCTGTCCATACTGTTTGTTTAACATAAAATCTTTGAATGCTTTGAAATTTCTGTTATGTGCATGCATTCTGTTATGTAAACTGTGAACGCATTCGAGCTGTTAAGAGTTTACATAGTGATGTATATTGCAGCATGTTGCTGTCAACCTATTTTTCCATTTTGATTGGAAATTATTGCTCACTCTGTTCATTATATTTTACAGTAAAATATAAAAGAAAAATATTTAAAATTTTTAAAGCGCTGTTATTCTTAACGTTTAACATTTTCGGCGCCTTGTTGCTGTTATTAACACCGTAAAATGTTGCTGAGCGTCACCGCTCATGTTACTGCTGTTTTGAAGGCTTGTCTAAGTGCTGTGTCGTCACTTTTGTAAGTGAGTGTTGCTTTACAGCTGACGAAAGACATTCCTCAAAATTGTTGAAAATTGTTACAGCGAATATTTTTTGTTTTTCTTTTTGTAATTATAGCAAAATGAAAACTGTTGAATACGACGCTGAGAGCAGTGAGTTGAGGAGTTGCTTGTTGGTGAGTTTGAGAGCTAGAGCATATTGTTGATTTTGTCAAATTTTTTTGTCGTTCTATTTTATTGTTTTTCGGTATGGCTAAGAGCATTTTAATGCAAAAGCGTTGAATATTTAATCACAAAACTGCGACTGTTATAGCTATATCTATAAAAAAACTCAGCACACTTAAAGCTATTAGCGACACTGTTTACTCACTATCCAGCTATTAATTGACTCTTTGCTTTTTATTTGTTGTTGTAGTACCTTTTTGTTTACTCTAAAATTCCCACCCATCGGCCAGCATTATAGTTAACATTACTAAAAAAGAAAAATATAAAAGTGTTGCTCAATAAATTTCAACTATTTGTCTATATGTTTGTACTCCCATCATTTCAACAATGTTAGAGCCGGCTAGTTCGTCACTACTTTGCAAATTATACCTAGCAATAACATACAGAAATCTTCACACATTTTCGTCGTTCACTCTGCCGCTAATATACACTGCCGACTTGATTCGGTCTGCCTGCCTGTATGTACACATATTACTCACCAATGCTTAACTCCCAATTCGTTGAGTAGTGAGCAAGGCAGTCGTTTACTGGTGTATTGTTGAAATTTGACTTCGTACTTTATGCACATATTGTGGAGCTCGCAGCCCCAAGTATTGGAGTCATTCGGTTTGGTCGTTTCAGTTTCAGTTGGAGCGTGTTAACGAACGGTTCGTTTCGTTTGACGGAATCGCGTGTAGTGTCCGTATTGTCGTTGAATCGCATTCGCAAGCGTCGCACGCTAACCTCGTGTACGGTTCGTTCTCGTTTTTGTAATCGAATAAAAAGGCGTACGAAATTATTGAAAAATATCTGTATATTGTGCAAATATTAGCACGTATAAGAAGTAAATTAACAAAAGTGTAAATAATTGGAAGAAAATTTTGTGATAAAGTGTGTTAAAGTGCAATACTAAGTGCGCGTTTTTTCGCAAGTTCTCCGCTGCCAATAACGAGCAGTATACCCTTGATCGGTGCAGTCGGCGTGACAGCAGCCAGCAGCCAGATTTGGTGACTTCGTGCGTCTTTTTAACGCTACACACGCCATCGTTGTACATTTCGTGACGGTCCAGCGGCAACGCCAGTTCTGCTGTAAGCCAGTCAGTGAGTCAGTCAGCCAGCCATCTCGCTCGTAAACCGAGTATAGGAGTTGGCAAAAAACTTATTTCGATTTCGTATCCGTTTATATTGTTGTCGGCGGCATCGTCATTACGACACATTTGGACGCTGCTTCTTTTTCGTTTACGGCCGAAATTGTTTCGTGCGTGTCGGTGCACTTGTGTGTATGTATTACCGTTAGTAGAAGTATCCATGTTGCTTATTTTATATATTAATAAAAATATATTTTTCCAAAAATATTTTCTACTAACAAATTTGTTGTCAGCATTTTGAACGCGTCTTCACACGAAGAAACGCTTAGCAAATATTTGCCAGTGATTTGAGGCGCGCTTTCAAGGCTGCTTGTGCAGATATATAATATTATAGATATAATATAAAAAAAATATATTTATTTTTTTCGATGTGTATTTTGTAATATATTTTTGTTAGTATGTTTGTATGTAGGTATATATGGCGAGTCAAGCTGCACCAAAGCCGAAATATCATTAAGTTTGTGTAATTTACGCGAAACCAGAAATTAAGTAACCCACAACAAACAACAACAAATATAGTATTATAATTATATATGTATATGTATTTAAGCCCAAAGAGTTTGCCACACTTAACGCCTATCGCTCAACTCCATTAACTTTCGATTGAGTGAAGCTTTCGTGCAAAATATTAGCAACCCATAATTGAGAAAGGAGAAATAACAATTAAAAGTGTAAAGCAATAAAAAAATTAATTTCATAAGCGCCGGAGCTACAGGCAAAAGCACGCATATAAAATAGATGAGCATATAATAAAAAAATAATATAAAATAAAATAACGTAATAATTTGATATAGTATAATAAAATAAATTAATCAATAAAGAAGTAACAAGATTAAAGAAAATAATAAAAATTTTATTCAAAAAAAAGCAAGAAAACACATTAACCGAATCGCAGCTATGTATATGTAATACTCTTAACAAATAAAAAAGTTTCCATACAAGAACTTGATTTTGATAGTTCAATTTGCATGGCAGCTTTAAGTTATAGTAGCCCGATAACGGCGATTCTAACAAATGAGCAGCTTCTTGGGGAGAAAAGAATGTGTGCGAAATTTCAGATCGATATCTCTAAAACTGAGGGACTAGTTAGCGTACATACGGCCAGACAGACGAACATATATTTTATAGGGTCTCGACATTTAATGCTGGGTGTTCAGGGTATAAAATAAGATAATAAGAAAAAAGATATAAAAAAAATGTGTGGTATTTGCAACGAATAAATAATGCCATAAATTAAATTGCGTGCATACTGCATACTTTGCTGTTACTATAAAAATTTAATTTTTGCTGTAAGCCAACATAGCATAGTGCTAACTCAATAAAATCAAGTAAATGGCGAAAAATGTTTACAAACATATATAAAATAATTGAGACAGATAATTACACACATTTTTTGATTCCAAAAAATTTAAACTCATAAGGCACCTACTAACACGTAGAGCGCAGCGAGTCGCAACAAATTTTTGTTTACTTGCTTTATCTTCATTTCAGAAAATAAATAAATAATTTCGAATATTTGCGCTGAAAGCATATGCAAAGGTTTTAAATCCAATCGGTCACCAATGAGTTTTCCAATTTTTACTTTATATTTTTATCTCCCCACTTCTGGCATCTTTCCTACTTTAAGCATAGGTGTATACATATAAGTGCCGCACACTGTATATACTTATATAGGTGTATTTACCAAGTGTTTCTGACTTTCGTGTGCGTCGTCAATTTATGACTGTGGGTTAGGTCAGCAGTCAATAGGTTAGTTGGCGCTGAATTGCTTGTGTATTTATAACTGCACCTTTCACATTTACATTTGCACCAACAAACAACCTTGCGAAGTGTACTATGTGTGTATATATACCTGTGTATTTATATGTGAATTACAAGATTTAATTCCAGCGAACAATTAAATTTCAGATGACGAGCAGATTTTTTTTACTCACGTTTTTAATTTAAGGAAATACCAACGATGAGGAGATCATGATTGAGAGAGTGTTTCTGCAGTGAATTTAATTGTTTTTTGACATTTCATAAGAAAATATGTAAGATGAAGTATTTAAAAAGTGAATTATCGGCTTCTACAGAAATAACAAAAGAAGCACAAAAAAATTATAATTAAAAAAGTTACAATTAAACTTATTAAATTTAAACTAAATAAAAAAAAAATTATGAAAATATTAAAAATTAAATAAATTAAAGCCGAAATTAGTCAATTAGGTCTAAGTTAGAAACTGAACATGTTTTTTTGAATAATATATTAATATAATAATAAACTCAACAGTTTATATGTGTAAAAATAAAAGTTATATTTTAATATAGTTTCTTCTTTAACTACTCGTTTCAGCGAATTTGAAGTAATGTTTTAATTTTTAATATTATTATTCCTTAGTAAATAATAATATTTTTTTTTATGATACTTTAATAAATAATAATTTTTTTTTTTGATGAAATTTTGTATTCTTCTCATCAAATAAATACGTAAATTCTTTTTTGTAATTGGAAAAAAAATTTTGGCAATAAAAATTAGCAAGAAATCATAAATATTTCAAAAATGTGTTTTTAAATTATCTAAGGGTTTTCAAGTGCAATTAACAGGTCGAAAAAATTTTTTCTGGTTCTATTAAAAATAGGTTCTAGTCTCAAAGCGGTTGGTTTTACAGATTCAGTTCCTTACTTCTGGTACATATTTACAATAATTATGAGAGAATATTAGCTCTTGTTTAGAAGCATAGACATTCCAGCCGATAGCTTTAATCAAAAAAATATTTTATAGTTAATAACTGACATTTTCAGAACCGCAACGAACAACAACAACTTCACATCATTTTCAATTCTTTCTGATGTGTGTTACAAAAAAAAATAAAATAAAATAAAACAATAATAAACGAGATCAGATTCTGTGAATATATACAAGAAAAATTTTATTGTTGATATATTATTTACCGTCTATTTTTTTATATTCTGCTGTATACTCTTTCGCTGACGATTAAAAGGCATGTATATAACTAAACCTAAATCTTGTTGCAGTTGCTTTGTTCTCTGTGGTTTAACAAACAAATTTTATTCCACTTGCAGTGTACGTTTGCAACTCGATTATAAAAAAATGCGATTATTGAAAATGACTTAAAGTATTTTAAAGATCTATACTTATATGTTTTGAAGTATAAGGTTCAGCTGATATTTAAATAAAAGCCTAAACATCTGATTTTACATAGGCTTAACTGTTGGTTGTTCTATTAGCTCATTTTGAGAATTACTTTTTGTGGTATGCCAGTTTTCCAAAAAATTTAAATATTCTAAATAATTTCTCCCTTAAATGGTTTTCCCCAAAACGGCTGTAAGCATTTTAATATATTTTTGCAAAAAAAAATTTGTTTGCAAATGAAATTACTATAGTGTAAATCTAGAAAATTTAAATTAGTTTAGTCTAAACTCTAGGAATATTTAAATACAAACTTTTCTCTGTAAATTACTAAGCATTGACGATAAGCGCTTTGCAAAACTTTAACCACATGCGGTGAGTGCTGTTTACAGAAATCGCTTTTTAACTGGAAAATGACTATTTTTATATCTATTAGTCACTTGAGTTAACTTAGTCACGTTTTTGTGCAATTTTGAGTAAAGTGTATAAATTTTATGAAAGTTATTTGCATAAAACAATAAAAAAAGTTAAAAAATAGTTTTTCTTAATTATTAAGGAACATGAAGAATTAAATAGATGCATTTAAGTTGAATAATACAATTGGCTGCTCAAATTTGAACGTCTTTTCTTTAAGTGCGGGCATATATTATATCTGAGATTTATATTGTTAGATAAAATTTGTAAGCTCAAAAAATTTTAATTTTTTTCAGTGTTGCGTTGAAATTTATTTCAACTCTTGCGCTCTAGTGCATTTTTTTTTTATTTATTTATTTATTTACTTTATGTTCAAAAAATGACTTTAAGTCGTCTAAAAATAATGCATTCTTATAACCAAAAAAATATATTTTATCTTAAAATTCTTTGCTTTAAGTCAAGCAGCTGCAGCTTTTATCATCTTTCTTAACTCTTCATGCATTTCTTCACGCTCGCTTCACATATGTTCATATGCATAAAGTTCTGGTTTCTTATATTATGTACCATACATATATATCTTCTAAGCATGTGTGTATATATTTTTAATGTATCTACCACGCATACACTGGTATTTCTTATCTCTAAATCGTTTTCGTCGCTAGTCACTTCTAGCTGAAGTTGCAATGAACAGCGAAGTAGTCAACATAAATATTAAATTTATGTATTTCTTTGTATATAGGTATATATGTGTGTAGTATATATACAATTATTTATAAGGCTAGTTGTTATCTAGCAATGCTCTTCAACTGGTTGAGCTCACATCATACATAAATACTTGCTAGCATTTATTTATAAATCTATATAAAGCTACATACAAGTATCTAACTGACTGATGACTATGTGACAGTCAGTTTGCTCTTGCAGAGTGCTTTAGCATCATTATTCTTTGCTAGAGTTGCTGCTACAGCTTCTGCTTTGCAGCTCAGCATTGCTTTTTGCCAATCAACATTATTTACTGGCATTTATTTATTATTTTTATTGGTATTTTAATTATATTTTTGCTTTGCGGAAACTGGTATTTAGTGGTTTTCTACTCATTTTCATAATTTGTTTCTTTTTTCACACTTTCGATTTGCGTTTTTGTGTTCTTCATTAGTGTTGCCATGCTTAAAATTATTATTTAGTGAATGTTTTGTTCTATACTAGTTTCAGTAATTTAAATATGACAGATAATATTAAATAATTTTGAATTATGAAAGATAGTTAGATTCAGGTGCTTAAAAAGCTTAGTGGAATATATTTAAAGCTGGTTTAGTAAAATTATTTGTACATTTAGTAGCAGTTCTTTTCATATCAAGTTGCAAGTTCTTTTTATACAAATCAGTAAATAACTTTTTTTTCTAAATTGCCCACTTTAAGATTTGAGAGAATAAAATTTGAATTCTTTGGAAAATTAATAAAAGCTACGAAATATAAACGAGATAAATATTGAAATTAATTCCTGTTGAGAATTGCCTCATAATTTATTCAAAGAGTTGAGTGAATCAGTTCAAACGTTTTTCGTCAATGCATTTGAATAGTTGAC